ATGATAGAAAAACACATGGATGCACATGTGAACTCCAGCACACGAACATATACACTCAACATGATCTCATAGTCTCCCTGAGGACATTCCAGGCAGCAGTTATGAAACCATATGCTAAATTCTGAGTAAATCAAACTAACCAAGGGTTAGATTCTTCTGAAGAAGAAACTGAAAATAAATTATTTGTGGTTCTTAGAAAATTCCTTTATACTTGGAAATGTTATTTGGAAATGAGCCACATTTCTAACACAGTCAAGAGAATACAGCAATGGTTCCCTCAATTATCTTAACACCATAATGTTTTTATTTTGGGTTTGGTTTATTTTGTTGGTTTGGTTTGGTTTGGTTTTTGAAACAGGGTCTTGCTATGTTGTTTAAGCTGGACTTAAACTCAGTAATTCTCAGTGAAATCATCTTTCATAAAGTTAAATATATGTTTATGTGATAAAAGCAAGAGATTTTGTAAAAATTTTCTTTACTATAGAAATTATTGTCAATTTTACTTTTATTTGTGCCTGATTTCACTTATCTATAAAATTCAAAAGTTGATTTTTGAGAAAATAACTTTAATCGAGGAAGTTAAGCCCCAGAAGAAACCAGAACTGAAATATTTCTGAATTTCCCTAAAAGTCACCAAAAGACACCTCAAGGTCTACGGGTCTCAGGGATGGGCTTGTTGCGAGCACAATACCCCAGACATCTGTGTTGTTACTAACTGCGCCCTTCCAATGTGCTGAGACTTTGAATGGGCCTCCAGAGACCTAGGTTAGTACAGTCAGCCAACAGATATAGAGTCCCTAATTAGTTTGAGGTGCTCTCTTATGTGCCTGGGAACTTCCTGCCTAGGGTCAAAGGCTGCCTGCCACTCTGTGGCAGTCCCCACTCCCCAGGAACAAGCCTCCCGTGGGCCACCCGTGGTCTTCAGCACTGGCTCTAGACCTCTCAGTGTCTGGGAGGGGTCTACATTCATCTCCCACCTTCTGCAAACTCCTCCAAAGCGAACACAGTCTTACTCAATGGTGTGTTCCTAGCATTGTGCACACAGAGCTTGGGATCAGTATAACTTAGTGGAATAAGCATATTTTACAAATGAGGAAACTGAAGCTCAGAAAAAGAATGCGTGTCCCACACCATAGAGCTAATCAGTAAGTGGTACTGGTCTTAGCCTTATCTGAAGTTCTCTTCTACAATGCCACGTAGATATAACAATCAAAACAGGAGGGCCAGAGAGATAGCTCAGTGGACTAAGTGTCTGCTTTGGCAAGTGTAGGGTCCAGGGTTCCATCCCCAGTCTCCCATGCCACACCAGTCCCATCCCTGGGGTGTAATGAGCCAGTGACTCAGTCTGGGTGTGGTGGCGCTCACCTATAATCCCAGGACTGGGGAGGCTGAAAACGGGATCACTACAAGTCGGAGCTGCATAGTGAGACCCTGTACCAAACACATACAATAAAAAAAAAATAAAAAAGGGAAACAAGGATCCTAGATGTTTTCCAGGGACCTCTAATCACACATGACCAGAAGTCCCCCCGATTCTCTTGTTATATGGAGACAGCCCATGAAGTGTCCCAAGCTGGCTTTGCGTAGTGATCCTCCTGCCTTGGCCTCCCCAGGGGCTGGGAACACAAGCGTGCACCACTGTACCAGGCCACATCCCCGCATGAACAACCTCTTCAGTACTCCTTTTCTCTACAAAAGCCTCCTGATTGTCCAAGGAAAATCTCATCTACCTGACTCCCTTTTCTCTTTAGCCTCATATCCAGCTAATCAATACAAATTGTCACTTATAATGTTTAAGCTGAGTAGCTCTGCAGTCACTTCCCTTCGCTCTACCTCCCTGCCATCACCTGAGATCCAAGAACTACCCATCATCTGCCAATTACAAAAACATACCGTTACTTGTCTCCACAGATTCGCAAAGGACAAACTTTCCCCCATCTTTGCTCCACCTACCAGCCAGGGTGATGGTGCCAATGCACTCCACACGTCATCCATCTAGTTAAGTGAAACCCTCCCTGGCTCACGGGCCCACCTACAGCTCAGGAAGCTGCCAGGTCTCCCGCTCTTCCCAAGGACCAGCTCCCTCTGCATTCTGACCTGTTCCCTCGCTCGCTGCTCTTCCCTGTGAGGGACTATGAGGGACTCCCTCCGTCCTACAGCACAGCACACCCCCTTTGGGAGAAACATTTATCACAACTGAAATTGCTTGGTGACTCTTTCCCTCGTTGAGGTCAGGGAAGCATTTCTTCAGTGCATCCACAATGGCTGACCACAGTAGCTGTTCAGCTTATATCAGTTGTCTGAATGACAGTTTGGGGCCAGACCACAGAGCGCAGCAAGTAAATCAAGGAGCAAGGATCCTTACCCCTTTGCCAAAATGTAAGCTGAGGCAGAGAGACACAGTCAAGGTCACAGGGAGAGCAGGGACAGAGCCAAATCTAGCATGCGTTCATTTCTCCTACATAACACACTAAATCCTTAGGGTGTGAGGGAACATTGCAGAAGAAAATTACCAAAGAGAAGGTGGAAGAGATGTCTTGGCCAACAGCCTCTGCACCTGCCCGTCCCACTAGCTGCTTTCACACGGACAGCAGTGACACGTTCCATGCAAGAAGAAACAATCCTGCTAAAGCACAAAGTACAATCACCACCGCACACCTCTGCCTTGGAGAGGAGTATGATACAAACTTCCTCCCTCCACAAAAGAGAAGCAATAGGAAGAAAGGTATTATGCACCGCAGTACCTTCAGAGGAAGCCGCTGGGGCCACCTCAGCAATCAGCAGGGACTAGCAAGGGGGGCAGGCAAAGCGTCTTCCCACCCGGAACAGGGATAAAACGACAAAATGTACTGAACAAGGCAGAAGCAACTTGAAGAATAGCTATTTCATCTAAGGAGAACCCTTCATATAAGGCACTGAAAAACCTTGCTAGCCCACTGGCAGCTCCTCCCAGGAGCCAGGGAAGGGAAGGGAAGGGAAGGGGCAGGGGCTCATGTGCGTGGGGCCTTTCACTGCGCCTGCTGGTGCTGGGTGTAGATCGTGTCTGCCACAGACCCTCACATCCAGCCCAGGGTCAGGCTCTCTGCTGCTCCTCCTGCCAAGCACAGACTGTAAGAAAAAGAGAAGCCAAGGCCTCCTCAAAAGAGAACCCTGAATAAATATCCACCCAGCTACATCAACCCCAGGGCTCCAGGGCGAGCGGGTGGGTGGGTGGAGGTGGGGGGTGGGGAGGGAGATGGCCCGAGAGGATGTTCAGAACTTGGAAGGTGACTTCCAGGAAGAAATGCGATGTGCTAATGACAAGGGGAGATGCTGGAAGAGAAGGAAAATGTGAACTGTAAATGGAGATGGGAGAAAAACAAAATGTCAAGAGATATGGGTGGGGCGGGGTGGGGTGAGGTGAGGTGGGGTGGGGGTGGGGTGAGGAAGGTACAGAAAGAAAGGGAGGGTGTGCAGAAAAGCAGAGTAAGCAATTGATGTAGGAAGAGGCAATGGCAGCCCCTTGGGCTGACTCCCAAATCCAGAAGCTGCCCACAGCATGCCAATAAATCACCATACTACAATACAATGGACTGTGCTCCGCATTCAGCAGCAAGCAGCATTTAAAAAAGTATCACCCAGCTGCAACTTTGCAGACCTAAGGATCTGAATCTAAGATGATCAAAATTGGTTCCCAGCAGCTAACGACAGCCAGTAATGACTTTCACCCAATGCCAGACTCAGCTGTGAAAAGATTTAGCCATTTCCAGTTAAGCAAATAGTCGGGCATCTCTCCTTCTTTTGACATTCCAAGACGGGGTGTGGCTGACCCCAGAGCCATCCGTTTCCAAGGTTGTAGATCTCTCAGCTCAGACTGGCCCCATCTGTTCTGGGGTGAGCCATTTGTTTATCTGAAAGTAACCTTTACTGCACTGATCATTCCTGTAACTCGTAAAGATAAAGGAAAGCCAACACCACAGAAGCATGCTTTCTGTCCTAGTAAATGTGTCATTTCGTTTAAAAACAAACAGAAAGCAGTGCAACACTATTGTGTCCGTTGGCTTCTCTGGGCAGGATCACTCTTCCGCGGGTCCAAGCAATGGCAAATGAAGGTTGCTAGCGCTTCTAACTTTCCCTTAATGTGTTAACATGAAGCTGGGTTTCCCTAATCGATCCCTCTGCAAACCGTTATTTGTGCGTGGTGACTGAGCCTCAGGAAACGGCGGCTCATTACGACACCGCTGTCAGCGGCAAGGAGCCTATTGCAAAGGAATTTAAAACCCTCAAACTAGCACAAATCTGTCGGCTCCACTTCCAAATGATCCCGAATCCTGCAGTCAGCAAAACAGAAAACACTTTAAAACGCTGCTTCCAGCAGCCCAAGAGAACCTTCCCCAGACACGTGAAATGTTTGTGACTGGCACCGAGTGCCCCATTAAAGGACACTGTCACCTCAAAGCAGCGGAAAAGGCGAGACCAGCGACATATATTCATACAAAATAATGCCCCACGCAACTTAAGCTAATTAGCACAAGCATGCCCATCCTAAACATGAATACCGTGTGCTCATCCTAGCGACAGAGAAATGTTCTAAAGTAGCACGGCCACATTAAGTCACCGTCTCCGCTCCTCTGCACGCACTCCCCCTTCCCACTCCAACCCCAGCACCCCGAGTGTCAGCATTGCCGGTCCCCACCTCTGCCCTCCTGATTTGCAGGAGCACCTCCCAACGTCCTTCCCGGCCCAGCCCCCTCTCCGGGCTCAGCAAGGCGGCCGGGAGTTGGGACCAAGGAATTGGCAGGCACCGTGTGGTGGAGGGCGGGGGGCGGGGGTGCGCTGCTGGAGTTGGTTCTTTGCAGTGACCCAAATTGCACAGAGCTCTTCCCTTAGTAGCGCCTGGGAGAACACCCCAAGTCCCCGCACTCCACGCTCCCGGCCCCATCTCCCCCAAAAGAAAGCCCTGAAAACTAAGCGGGAGGAATAACTTGGGAGAACCATTTCAATAAATCACTTAAACTCACCTGGTTTGGGATTTTTCTCCCCACCCCAGGCATAAACAGAAATGATGTGCGAATGAGTCACGCACGAATGGGAGGTGCAGCGATGTCCTAAGTCGAAGGGCTGGAGTCGGTCCCTGCCCTGGTGCTGCAGCTACTCTGAGCTCAGCTGGAGCGAGCGGCAATCGCTAGCCCAGCGGCAGCAGGGGGTGGGCAGATCGTAGCACAATGAATGCGGTGGGGTTTTTGCAATGACATCATCCCTCTGTCCAAGCGGCCCCAATAGCCATGCTCGGGTGCGGTGCGTTCTGGGAATTGTAGTCTTATGGGGGGCTCATAGGGGGACACCAAAGCAGTCAGTAGAACTACAATACCCAAGATGCACCGGGGTCGGACGCGCCTAGAGGGGAGGAGCCCAAGGCTTGGGCCGCCATGTTAGGGCGCCAGGCGGTTCCGCGAAGCGAGTAGAGGTGGTGGAGAGCGTGAGCCAGGGGCAGTCAAGCGGTAGGGACGGACAGGTTCAGGACTCGCTGACCGGAGGGCCTTGGGGTTCGGCTTGAGAACGGGCGAAGATTCCATGAGGCCTGCTGTTGGGCGGGTTGCCTAGGAAGGAAGTGGCGCGCGGGGGCCGCGTGAGCCTCGGCCTTCAGGGCTTCCCCAGGCCCCGCGCTCTATTTTCTGACTGAGGGGTTGCAGGGTCCTTCCTTTTGCGTCTGGGCTCGGGGGAGCAGCGGCCGGGCGGCGGCGTCACAGGATCCCTTCGCCTCCGCCCTCGTGGACCCCCCCCTCCCGGGGCGAGCTTCTCTGGCTTTCTGGTATGGGGAGGAGGCGAGGAGGGGGTCCCCAGAAATCGCTGCTGGAGGAGGGAAGAGCCGGGAGGAGGACGGAGGGGCCTCGAGCGGTCGGGCCGTCGGGGACCCGCTCAGCGCGACCGCCGCCGCAGCGAGGGCGGATCGCCAGGGGACGGTCTCTGGGGCGCGGCGGCGCGGGGCTCTCGCCGTCCCGGCCCGGGATCAGGCGCTGCGGAGACGCCGAGGCCGTCCGCGGGGGTCGCCAGCTCGTCGTCTTAGGGTTTACTTTGTGACACCTCGTATGCATGATTGCTTTAAAACTTCTTTAAGTTATTTGCTCAGTATTTTAAGTGAGCTGCCTTTTTCTCCACTGCGTTGTTAAAACAGTGCTGTGTTTCTTTTGCAGAATCTGTCCACGGTGTGGAAGGATAGGAGATTTCTGTTCCTCTTGCGAGTGTCAAAGGGGTTAACAGTGCTGATGTGTGTGCTTGCTTCGTTTTGTTTTCCTCCCCTCCGTTGTGCACTTTATTCTGAAAACAAAATGAGTAGGTTTGAGTCAGTGAAGGTATGTACTAGGCCTACTAGATGTTAATAAAACTTCTGATTCAAAAGCCCTACTGTCAGAGAAAGGTAGGCACACTGATAACACATTGTAGAAACAAACTCAGATGTAAGCACTCGATGATTGTAAAGTTTTGCAAAAGACTAAACCTACATGTCATCTCTGGGAACAAGCCTCAAGGTTGATGGTTGTCATTCTTATGCAGTGATCATATGTAATGGTAAGTATTGAAAAAGGAACGGAATATTGGCTCTTTTCTTTCTGACCTTCAATTTCATGAATTTTAGGAGGTTAAGCAGTCACCTCATTTTGAATTACTGTGGAAGACCATTTTATAGGGAAAAAGGCACAGATTTCTTAGCAATCCTGTGTGGAAAATGATAGACATATATAATACAATGATATCTATAAATTGTCATGTATTTGAATAATTGGAAATATTCTAGCCTTACATGCCGCTGACAGCTAACTATAAGTACATTAAACAAATACATTTAATATATTTTATAAGGATCTACAACTACTTTTAAAAAATTTTTATACTTAGAATTGTGATTTGCAAATTAATATTTAAGGAGTTGGTAGCCTCAGCTTGTGAAAAACTAGCCTGGGCACTAGAGGAAAAAGTTTATTATTTTTATTATTTTATTATTTTTCCCCAAAAAATAGATTGGGGAAATATTTTTACACTGGAATTAGGAATACCTTATGTAAAGCAAACTACATTTTTTCAATTGCAGTGGATGTGGCATTGATTATAACTTTGGAAGATTGTGATGTACTTTTAGGTAGTTCATAAGAGAATATTAGTTTGTTGTATTAGTATTTCAGTTATTTGTTTTGAGACTGTCTGTAGTTCAAGCTAGCCATGAACTTACCATGTAGCCCAGGCTGGCCTCAAACTCATTGATACAGACCTGCCTCGGCCTCCTGATTGCTGAGAAGAGTGCACTGCCACGCCCAGTGGGGTCAGTTGTTAAAGATATTTTTCCAACAAACATGTCAGGATCACTTACAAAATATTGTAAAAATATGGGCTAGGGGATAGCTCGGCCACCTAAGCACCTGCCTGGCAAGCGCAAGAACTTGGGTTCTATCCCTGGTACAGCATGTTTGCTGGCCACTGAAACCAGGCATGGTGGTTGAGACAGGAAGAGCACCATGAGTCTGAACTGCATAGTGAGGCCTTGTACCAAATAAATGAATAAATAGACTTTTTTAAAAAAATTCTACAAATAGGGGCCAGGGAGATGGCTCAGTAGAATAAGCGCTTGCCTGGCAAGCACAAGGGTCTGGTTTCAATCCCTGGTTCCACCAAAAAAAAAAAAAAAATGAACCAAATTTCCCTGTAAGTTCTTATTTTTATTTATTTGTGTGTGTGTGTGTGTGTGTGTGTGTGTGTGGCCAGCTCAGCCCACCAGGGGGCAGGGCTGGCTGGCATGTGGTGCTGGGGGATTGAACTGCTAAGCTTGCTCCAAGTAGGTGCTTTAGACCACTAAGCCATCTCACCAGCCCCTCCCTGTAAGTTCAACATTGAACCTAGCCATTGAATTTGATTGATTTCTCATCCAACTGTTTCCTACAGAATCATGGAAAGAAGTCTGAACCAGTGTACCACTGTACTGATACTACCTTGTATTTTTGGTATGGGAGTAAATACAGTAGAGTATGTTTTAAATCATCCCCTGTAATGCCAAAAGATGTCACAAAACATCTGGTATATTTTACAGAGAAGAAAATGAGGGACCAGCCAAATAGCTCAACAGATTAAAGTGCTTGCAAGCAGGTGCAGGGACTGGGGGTTCGATCCCTGGGCCTGCCTGCCAGCCCTGCCCCCAAGGCACCTGAGAGGGCTATTGAGACTGGGCATGTTGGTACATGTCTGTAAACCCAGCACTTAGGAGGCTTTAGACAGGAGAATCATTATGAGTCCAATCTAGTAGTGAGGCCCTGAAATGGGGGCTGGGGAGATGGCTCAATGGAATACATGCTTCCCTGGCAAGTGCAAGGGGGGGCCTGAGTTCAATCCCCGGTTCCACAAAAAAGAAAAAATGAATACATTGGAGTTAGAAATTTTCGTGGTCACAAGAATCTCACTGCTTGGTACAGGATCTCAGGCTCATAGTGATCCTCCTGTTTCAGTCTCACCAGTGCTGGGATTACAGGTATGTGCTGCCATGCCCGGTTTTGTTGGCCAGCTCAGCATGTCCCAGTCAGGGCCAGCACAGCATGTAGTACCAAGAATCAAACCTGGATCCTTGCGCTTGCCTAGGCAGTCATTTAGACCACTGAGCTATCTGCAGCCCTGTTCAGTGTCTTAATGCTGCCATTTTTTCCCCTCTATTTAAGCTTTAGATTTTTATATCTTCATGTCATAAGATTTTGATTTCTTACATTGTATATTTTATTTCAGTGTATGTTTCCATTGGACTCTCAAGACAGTTTTAAAATAGTAATATACATGAGACATGCTTTATATTTTAGGTTTTAGTTTTTGTAACATCTTACGTTTCCCAACTCTGCCTGGAACACATAGACTCAAGTGACCCTTCTGCCTCAGCAGCCATATTACACTGTACCCAGTGACTTCTGTTCTTTGGCTTACTAAATTTGATTAGTCTACATTCAGAGTCCTCTGACGTCCTTTTACCCTTATCTGTTGAAGAATAAAACCCAAGCGAACAGGTAGTTGGTTTTATTAAAGCAGCCTCAAGCTTCAAACTCTTAATGGGTTCAATTTTAAAGGACGGAGGCCCCCTTGGAGATACTATGAACAGACTGAGTTTAGTGCTTTTACGAATAATGTTAGCAGCTTGGATTCCAGTAGCTTGAGGTTGAAGTTTGAGTGTCTTACTTTGTATTACAAAATTTGTGGCATTCTAATCCTCAGTGATACAGCCTTCCAGTGGTGTTGGTGAGAATAAAATAAAGCATCTAACAGAGGTTTGGAAAATGGTAAGTTTATTGTGAATTTAGTTCCTGAAAAATAGTCCCAGAGCACTTGAGACACAAAAGACAGGGATTACCTGCAAAGGTATTCTTTCAACCTAAGTCAGATTTGTGACAAATTCACATTAAAATACAATTTGATTTCTTTATTCTGTGAAGATAGAGGACAACGATGGGGAGAGGGCTACTGGAGAGTGAACAAAGGGCCTTAGCAGCTACATCCCCAAGAGTCACTAAATTTCCCAGACAACTTGGATCCTTCTGCCTCAACCTCAGCTGGGAATGAAGACATATACCACCACACCCCAGCTTGAGTCTTTCCTAGCTTAGATCACATAGGGAGTGTCACAGGGTTACTGAAGTATAGCTTAAAGCTCCACAGTTACAGAAGTCAGGCCCTGTTGTCTACAAAAACCACTAGCCAATTCTCTTTTTAAAAGCCTATTATATAGCCGGGGAGGTAGCTCAGTGAAGGATGCCTAGGTTGTGAAAAGTACTAGAATTGTCTAATATACTTTATAAGTTTCTAAAATCCTTATGGGGGCTGGTGAGATGGTTCAGTGGTCTAAAGCACCTACTTAGAACAAGCTTAGTAAATCACAGGGACCAC